ATAAAGTCATGTTTTTTCCCCTCTGTTTATTAAATGTTATTGTAGGGAGTTTGATTTAACAAAAAAGAAGGGAAAGCAATATTTGTGTATTATTTCTATTAAAACCATTTGAATAAATTGGTGAAACAGACAAGAGGCAGAATTTTGGTGTGTTCTTGGTTTTTTTTTTTTTTTTTTTTTTTTTTTTTTTTTTTTTTTTTTTTTGATTTTTTGTTGTTTTTTTTTTTTTTTTTTTCCTCTTAAATCTCACTTATGTCTGTGTGGCAGCTGTTGCTTCTTTTAAGGAAGCAAGTTTTTGAACTCAGGTTTCTGTTGCTTATCAGCACTGTATATTAAAGACATTTCCTTCACACCTCTGAAACCATTTACATATTGAAAAATGTAGATGTTTTGCAAAAGTGATTATTTTAAAAAATACATTTTTAATAACAAGACTAATTTTAAATTACGGATTAATTTTTCAATAGTGGCTAAATTTCCATATGCTTAAGGATTACAAGTGGTGAGGCTAACAATAGCAACTGTCAAATCTGAGGTGAAAAATAAGTGTGAAAAGAGAGTTTGAGTTCTGAGGTGAAGTAAAAAAATTACAAACTTTGAGTGGCACATTTGTCTAACAAGGATTTTTTTTGACTACTCATATGATTTCTTAGAAAGCTCTTGTTTCTGAAGCTCTTCAGCAGTATCGAAACTACCAACATTGCATCGCTGGAATAAACATAGTTTGTGAAATGTCCTGAAGGCAGGATTCTTGTTACTGTCTGCCAAAGGCAGAAAAAAAAAAATCATTAAGGCTGCAGTACAGGGGCGAATAAAGAGGCAACCGTGAGGGTCATGTTCTAAACAAACCTTCATTAAGCATTCTTTGTTACTGTTGTTAGCCAGTGTATTATTAAATACAACGTTAATTAAAGAGTTGCGTGTTACGAGGGTGCTTTTTGCATGAAGATCAGATTGCATTTTCATGTGCTTCAGGAATATACTGCTGTGTTCATCTTCTGCGTGTATTCTCTCGGTAGTTATTAAAAAAACAGACCCCAAAACCATAAAATTGATTATAAATTTGTGCTTTGTGTCTGCATATGTATTTATTTTCTGTATGTATCAGCGAGATACATATTCTAGTGCCACTTTTCTCAAGTAGCTTTAAAAACTTTGCCTAGAATTAAAATGATGTAGGAATTACTTGGCTTTCTTTGCTGCAGTGGTTGCAATTAGAAACCTCTTCTTACTGTCTAATAAACAGATCCTAAAAGAACGTGTTTTTCAACTTAGAAGGGTATAAATTTAGGCAAAATAATAATTTAACTTACATTAACTCAGCAGGAAGCAGGGTACAAACCTATTAATTCTCTATGGCAGATTCACTGCTTTTTTAAGTACTGCAGCTCCATTTCATTAAATTGTCAGGATATCTTGTGGTTTGGTTAGCCTGCTTGGACTTATCCTTTCCCATGGAATTTTTTTTCACTTGAATTAATGAATTTCAAATGTAAATCTCCTCTAGTTTTCTTGTGTTGAGATATTTAACAAACATACACTCCAAATATCTTCAAAGTGATTGAATATTACTCATACCAAAAAATGTACTTTTTTTTTTTTTAATGTGGAGCTGCTCAGTTAGAAGACATGGAAGTTTTTCCTTTTCAAATACTCTGCTTTGCTCTAGCATTTTTTTTAATGGAGTATTTCTTTCAAGGAAGTTCAGTAAGCACATGTCTGTTCAGAAGTATGGACTAAAATGATTTTCTGTCTTTAGGCAGATTATGTAGAAGGAATGCAGTTATAAGAGAGCATCTAGGGTGCATTCGAGAGCCATTAAACCACTTGAGCAGCTAAGTGAACTGTTCACTGATACCACCGTTTACTTTAGTCTTCAAAAGTGTTACCTATTTGTTAATTAAATTACAAAATAAATGTAGGGCAGATGATAAATATTCAAGTATAGGGCTTGGAGAGGGATTGGAATATTGGTCATTTCAAGACAAAATTAGGAGTTTTATGTGTGTGTGTTTATACAGATGTCTTGAAAAAGCAGTCTGACATCATTAATGTCCGGAAACTGTTTAGAAGAAATATTCCTTAAAGAAACATGTCTATGAAAGAAACATATGGATCCTTATGAAGCCATACTACTTTACAATTGCTTTTAAATTGCTTTTTCTATGTCTAGCTATAGTTTGCAGAGCAAAGACAGAGGTACAGCTGTGCTCATGGTTAAACTGGTACTTACCTGTCCTATGATTAGCTTTTATTGAAAGTTGCTAACTCTCTTCAGAGGAGCTTGGAAGTGCTAGTCATACTTTTCTAATGTTTTTTCTCCAGTCAGAACATCAGCCACATAACTCTATAGATGATGAGAAATCTGTTTGGTTTTCTGGTTAAGAGACTCTGCATTTGGCTGCTAGTAGATACTCCATCTAAAGTGTTGGCCCAAACAGTGAAGAGGGAGTAAGTGATCAGAGAAGTGTGTGCTGGGTCTCTAAGGATACCTGTTAGAATGGTCTCCTTTTCTATAGGTTTAGTCCTGGAGAGTGTATGTAAGTAAACAAAGGCTTCTGTTCTTTTCTGAGTGACTAATAAGTGTACTTCCCCTATCACCCCTGAGTCTTAAGAGTCAAGTCTGCTTATCTCCCTTTCCAGTTTGTTCCTTGCAGAAAGGAGGACTCTCTTTGAAGCCTGGTTGACTACTTTGGGCATGTTGATACTGTCTCCATGCTGTCCTCAAATTCATCAGTGTGTTTAGCTGCCTGCCTACATAGAAGTTAACCCACCTTATAGCTAAGAGTAAGATCTTGATAGATTGTAAACCCAGCAACTGGCACTTTCTCTCATAAACAGTCACTTACTCTTACAATGAAATGAGGTATAATTTATTAGGAAAATACAGAAGATTCTCTTTATCATCTCTTTTACAAAGAAACTAGGATATTAATATTTTTAAAACTTATATTGGATGATCTGATATGTAAGGTTTTGTTTTGGCTTCAACTTTTGAGTCCATGCAGATTTCAGCAAATTTGTTGCAAGGCATATTTTAAATAGTTCTAAAATATGAGTCATACCTTTACTTAGGCCTATGATTATTTCCTTTTCAAGTATTCAGCAAACTTAATTTAAGAAGTATTTACCTTTTTATGTAATGCTGATGTACTTTGAATTGTTGGTATTAAAGTTACATATTTGTTTTCCTATACTGCACTTGCATTTCTTCTTCAACTTACAAAGTATCTCATACCCGTTTGTTTTGGTTTGGTTTTTATTGCATGCTCTCTTGTTAGCTGGGATTTCCCATTGTGAAATCAGTTCAGAGTGGCAGTGTCAGTAGAGATGTTCACAGTCCAGCTAGTACCAGAGGTCTGAGATAAAGCTCTGCATCAGTACAAATGTAACTAGTGCTATATCTGCTCTATTCATTTTGTGATCAAATTAAGTCACACTTTGACTTTTCAATTCTTTCTAGTTACATGAAAATGCCTATATAAAAAACTCAAGCAGGTACCCTGCTATCTAGAAGCAGGACTAAATAGGAAGTTTTCCTGCTGAGGGCCAGGTAACATAAGCCAGCCTGAATAGTCCAGTGTTAGTTTTTCTTCTCTTTCCTCTTCTCCGTCTCCTATTGCAACCCCCCTTCTCTGCTTAAATACATGTTGAAAATCAGAAATGTTAGTGGCTGCAGTTAGATTTTTTTTTTTAGGCTATGGGTATCGTCAAAATCCTTACAAGCTGTGATCACGTTCATCAAGGCCATACCAGTGATTCCCATGTGGAACTTCAGTGACAATTAGTTGATTGCTGTGATGGAAAGGTGAAGATGCGATTAATGAACGTTTAGATGACCCTTTAATGAAGTAAGCTCCATGTTAGGTGGATGTAAACTTCCTTCTGACTTTTGAATTGCCTAAAAGCTACGTAGCTAGAGCTAACAGGGTGCTGAGGTGGTAAACAGCACTGACTGTCTGGGGCTTAGCACAGGACCAGTGCAGCCCCTGGAATGGTTCATTCAGAGCATTTTGCAAATGATAAGTCCTAGGTGTGATTGGAGATTCTGCATTGTTAATACACTTTCTTCTTAAAATTTTCACTTGTATAATGATGAAACAGTGACTTATTTTAAATAAGTCCTCATTGTTTACTCTGCAGAGTATATAGAAAACAAAGATGGGGAAAATTGGGCAAATCTAAAGTAGCCTGTACTTAACTGAGTAACTGCACTCTAAAACTGAAACTGTTGGTGGGATTTTGGTGTGGTATTGTAAAGTATAATAGAATGAAAGAGATTTTTTTGCCCTTAATAGCAAATAAGTAGCATTAATTAAGCTATTGTCTTTGTGTTCTGTATGTTTCTGATCCTAAATACCTCATAGATTGCAGAATCTTCTGCTTAGCCTGGGGTAGGGGGAAGATGGAGATGGTAGGTTTATTGCTGGAATTATCTCTTGGAAGGTAATTGGCTTCTACTTTTTTTTTTTTATTCCTTTTGCTCTCAGTTACATTTGTTAAGTATATTTTATGTAGGTTTTTCAATTACCCTCAATTTTCTTGTATTTGCTTAGTGTATGTTTCGAGGAAATTAATGACTTTTGCATTGGCTTAGCAGGGTAAATGTTCTACCTTATAGTAGTTTAGATTTCACTTGGTTATCAAAAGTCAACCTGTAGTGCTTATTTTTTTTCTGAAAAAAATCTGAATTGTTTATAGGTGTAAAGATGTAGGATTTTTCAAAGAGTGTAGTGTGATTAAATTTAGAATTATGGAATATTACTATACTGTACTTGTAGCTTCTTATTCCAGAGGTATCATTGTACAGTCCAGGCTTACCATTGCAATTCAACTTTCTCTTCTTTTGGTGGGAGTTAAGGTTTTCTCTGTAAATGGAAAACATCTTAAAAGATTTTGGTATAACTAATGTTAGACGCTGATATGTTATGTTTATGTTTTTTGATATTCAAGTTTAGGTTTTTTCTACAATACTAATGAACATTTTTTTTCTACTTTAGGAGAATATATAAAAAACTGGCGGCCAAGATATTTCCTGCTAAAGACAGATGGCTCTTTCATAGGCTATAAGGAGAAGCCCCAGGATGTGGATCTGCCATATCCACTCAACAACTTTTCTGTGGCAAGTACGTATTTCCAGTACTTATTCTCTCAGCATATTGACAGATTATCTGCTATATATTGCTTCATGTATAGTTCAGAATTTATTGATAACACTGCAAGTTTTTTGCTATGTGCCATACTAGTGCACCACTAATTTTACCTCCACCTCTACAAGATATCTTTGCAATAGCATAAAAGATTTTATCATGGGTTGGGTTTTGAATGTTTTTGGAAATCTAAGTTCTCATTTTTGTGCGTGTGTGTCTGAAGTGTCTGTAAATAACAATGACATTTGACAAATGATTGTCGTAAGAAGAAAATTCCTAGAAAGATCATTGACCTCTTCTCTCTTTTACATTGGTATCTCTGAATTCGCTTGAAAACTCTAATTAGAAAATTATCTAGACTGTCAAATGACGCAAAATCATGCTAAGTTATTTTTCTCTTGGATAATCAGGTAATCAGCTCTCCAGCCTTGTTAATCAGTAATTTCAAGCAATCAGACAATTTGCATATATATTAACAAAGCTACAAAGTGTGTATCTGTTGGATAAAGTGAAGATTACTTGTTTTCCAAGAATGTTTCTAAAAGACAAATCTGTAGGGTTTTTTTATCTGGCAGAATGAGATTCATAGAAGGGTGTTTGTGAATAGAAATGGAAGTATTTGAGGAGCCAAATTAAGGGGACAAAAAAATCTCCCGGAGTATGAGTTGCAGATATCACACATAGAAGCTTTCAGAGGAACACTAGAAAATTTACCCAATTTCTTTTAAAATTGTATTAAGGTACTGTAATACAGTAAGTGGCAGTGTTTAGTTTTATAGAGGTGTCTAGGAGCTGCAAGAGTATGTGTATTTACGGAAAGGGTTCCCTTCATCTGCATTGTTGAAGATGGAACAAATGCTACTGGGACTGAATTTTCCTATTTTCTTGATAAAATTGTTCTTGAGATTGATTCAGCCTTTGTGTATACAAAGTAATTTGTGTATTTTATTTGGTAAGAAAATAATCTCATGCTCCAAGTGCGTGTCTCGTCTCACAACCAGAGGAGGAAAACTTTGCATATTCTGATTGTAGTATAATTCTTAAAAATGATATTGAGTGTGCAAACCTTCTAATAGTATTAGAGGCTCACTTTGCCTTGTTGCTATTCAGCATAAAAGCAGTGATGTCATTAAGTTGTTCATATGAGTAGGTATTGACTAGGACATAAGTCATTATTCCTTAGTTATTGCTCTGCATATTCTCACTACTCTTTTATGCAGTTAGTAGTTTTCTAGGTACCTTTTCCCTAGTGTGGAGCTGAAAGACTATTTGTAGAAACACAGTGGGGTTTTTTTGTCCTGCTTTACCATGTTCTTCATTGCATGTCCTATCTTCCCTTGCTACAGCAACTAAAAGGGTGATCCAAATGGTAGTTCTGCTAAGCAAAGAAATACATAATTAGCAATTAGTTCCAGTGTGTTTATACTGTTGTCGGTGTTGGTTGGGAGTTTTTTGGTACCTAGAGGTCATGTTATGTGATTCTAGTATTAGAATGCTGTCCTTGAACTTTGCCTTACTGTAAATGGAAAGATTTTATATTGTTTTCCAAAATGACATCATCACCACCTCCACTGCTTCCCTCTCCCTCTCCCCTCCTCCCACTCCTCCCCCCGCAAAAATCCTTTCTGAAACTAGCAAGTCCCGTAGGTCTGACTCTAAGGCAATGCAAGCTAAAGGAACAAACATGCAATATTAATTGAAAAAAATACAATTTTGATAAGCAAGATGACTTTTTCTGTTTTCTGGCAGGAAAAGGAGTAATTTTATCAGAAATGATTGCTGATCAGTGCAAGAATAGGGAGATGTATCACTCAGAATCTCATGAAATTGAATGAAGTGCCTATGTAGAATTCACAGGATGAAAAGCAAAACAGTATGGTATTGCACTCTAAATTGTAAGGGACTGTAAATTTTTCATCAGCTATTTTATCTGTCTGAAGATGAGATCATCAGTAGGGCAAACAAACAAACAAACAGAATTGTTATATGAATGAATCACATCTCATGGGAAGTACCTGGTAAATGTCAAGAACTGGTCTCATGGCCTCTGATCCAAGAGTTCCTGAGCTGCTGCCGTAGGTTTGTGGCCACAAGCAGTGCAACATATTTTTCCTGTAATAGTGAAGTACGTTTTTCATAAATTACTAGCCAGGCAGATGGAGTGTGAGATCACTGTTAATACCATCTTGATTAGGTTGGCAGGGACTTAAAGATATGTCTTTACAGTCCTATCTTCACGTAATCTTTGTAGCTATCTGTAAAGTGAGAATGTGATCTCAGTCTACTTTTTGCTCTCCAGATGATAGACATCTTTGGCTCTTGCTTGCAGCTTGTTATTTAAGCAGAAAAGGCCAAGGCTGCAGTATTATTTTCATAGTACTGTTGGAGTTAAACACTTGAAAGTTTGCACAGCTCTGCTTTGTATGATACTTGTTCTGTAGTTTAAAACTTTTATAACCAGCTCTGTCGAGCTGGTTACTTCCGTTATATAAATATTTTCCTCCCAGTGTGTCCACTGCCTTCCACTCCTGTGACATGAGCTTTACTTTTGCAAAAGTAAGTTTCTTTCCAAGCCACTGTATCATTTCTCCTAGTGTGGCTCCCTAAAGTTCCGCACCTGAGCATTACCCTTTCCCTGGTGTTGTGTCATCTGTGTACACTGTTGGGAATGACAAGAAGGCTGGAGAGTGAAGTTATTTTACATACTACTAACAGTGCTTTCAGTAATAAATGTGTCTTTGCTAATAAAGCCTTTCTCAGGGGATGGTGTTTTGTCATAGGATGTAGTGTTTGTTCAGAGGCCATTCCTTTTCCTTGGAGTGTTTTGTGAGGAAATGTGGGGGGAAGGCATTTGGAGGTGGGTGCATAAACAGATAGACACTTCACTTAGAGAGAAACTGAGGCAGCACACATCCTTCAGTGCAGTGGAACCACATGGGCCTATAATGGAGGTGAGGGATCTCTCCTCCTTAGAGCACTGAAGATGAAACAGAGTTGACTGAAGGATGCAACAGAGTGGGGCCGGGTGGAGCTGAGCCCCAGGGAAGGATGCAGGACTGCCCTCAGGTGTCCTGAATGGACTTTACTCTCCCGACCTCAGGTGCACATGGAAGGCAGCAATGTGCACTCCACACTGCATCTTGGACCTGCTGCAAGACTGCAGGGGTGAACAAATCAGCCAGATCTGGTGACACTGGATAGTGTTTAGGAATCTCTCTGGCTCTTCTCCTGTGGAGCCAGCCAATTTTACACCAAACAGAACTGCCGCCTTTTAAATGGGAGATGAGTGAGCTGTGTATTTGAAGTATGCTGTTAGTCCCTTAATGCTCACGCCCTGACACTGAGACTCACAAAAAGCTGTGCCGTGGTATGTAACCATGCACTTGAAGATAAATGAAGGCGGTGTAATTACACTGGGGGGAAGTTCATTGTGAAAACTTAAAACCAGTTGATACTGGTTTTCAGGGATAAATTCAGAAGTGTGAGCTTACTTGAATTGGCTGGTTCAAAATCAGTTCAGCTCTTTTCAGGTAGAGAGAAGCAGTTGCGAGTAATCAAGCTGCTGTAGCTTAAACAGATACTCCTGATTGACTGAGTCACGGTAACTGTGTGGGTGTGCATTTCTAGCCCACTTCAACTGCAAAATAAAATATGTTAATTTAAATTGCTTCTGCTTAGGCATTTATGCAGTCAGAACCAGTTTAAAAATACTTTGGCTTCAATTAAAAAAAACCAAACAACAAAATCCCATCAAAAAACCCCAGTGTGGCCTCCTAACACTGTTTTCAGCTGGTCCACTGTTGTGTAAGTGGAATCAATGCTGCCTTGTGTAAACTGCTTTGGTCTTTGATCGTCATCGTTATTTGGGAAAGCAGAATGGGGAAGAGTTCTACTTCAGTTCTACTTAAGGAACATGTGTGACTTTACTGATCAAAAAAAAATACTTCTCACATACACAATGAGTATGTAGGTAATCACGTAGCACATTTGGGATGAAGTATCTCTAAGAATTGGCCCTTTGCCTTCATTTTGATCTTTATGTGTGGAATAATTGAGAAGAGCTGTATCCCTTCTCAGTGGCCTTTGAGCTTTGGCCAAAAATGATGTCACCTGGAATTTCTTTCCTATCTTGAAAGATAGTGCTTTCTAAGCACTCTGTGGTACAGCTACCAGTTTTCTTGTCTTTGGAAAAAAAAAGCAAATTTTAGTTATCATGAGAAGGTAAAATTTTATAAACTTCCCTTTATTTTATTTTCTCTGCAGAAGTGATTATTGATTTACCTTGGCTATTGTAAAAGGAGAATCTGTGCTACTTTTTCCTAGTCTTAATGTTTCAGTGGGCCAGAGACGAGATTTTATTTTTTTGGGATTTAAATATCTTCAAAACATGAAAATTGAAAGGTTTCAGGGGAATAATGTTAAGAGTTTAAAGAGTTCTGAAGACATTCTTTAAAGAAATAGGAAAATATATATGTCTGTTATAAGTGAGATTAAATTATACATCAATATGCCTTGGCATTAGACATGACCTTGTGGACGACTCCAGAAATAACTTTTCAATGAAATTTAAGTCTTTTTTTTTTTTAATTGTTACAACACTGGATAACATGAACCCAGAGATGAGCATGTAACTGTAGATATTTGTAATTACAGTGTGGATTTTATTCCAAAATAATAATAGTGGAATTGAATAAATAATGTTCATTCAACCCTGAAAACACTTGTGGAGAGAAAAAGGCATCTCTGTGTAATATACTGTATGTGCATATGCATCTATGGAAATTCAGACTCAAATCTAATGTGTATAAGACATATTTCCATCTGTGTTGGATGGGGAAATGTTTAGCTTTCTGGAAAACTGGACCAGTAATTTTCTTTGGAAGGCTTTCATATTACTTTATGAATGGTTTCTGGGTGGTATAGTTGGTATTCTGTCATTTGACTTTGAAGTTTGGGTTCAGTTGTTGGCTTGGGTC